AAATAAAAATTTATTTATAAATAAAATAAAATAAAATAAAAATAAAATAAAATAAATATTTTATATTATTAGTAATATGTTTATCTTGTTGTTAGTTACATTTTTATTTTATATTTTTCATTTTATTTTTTTTTTATTTTATTTTAATTACGTTTTTATATTTTTTAAAATTAAATTTATTTTTATGTTAATTAAATTTCATTTATTTTATTGTTTTCAATCCTCCACAGATTTGCTCCTTTAATTGGCGCGCAATAAAAACAAAATAAAAATAAAAAAATAAAAAATATAAAAAAACAAAAAAACTAAAAGAAAAAGAAAAAGAGAGAAAGCAGACAAGTATGATACTAAAACCAAACCAAATCACGACAGCAGCAACAGCAACAGCAGCAGCAGCAATAGCAGCAGCAGCAGCAGCAGCAGCAGCAAGAACAATAACAACAAAAACAACAATATTAAGAAAGAGAAAAAGAGAAGAAAAGAGAGACAAAAGTTTTGGTGGTTTAAAGACAGAACAATCAACAACAGCAACAGACTGCAGCAACGCAGAATATTCACACAATTGCTGCCGCTGCTGCTGCTGTTGCTGCTGCTGCTGCTGTTCCTGCGGCTGCTGCTCTTGCTGCAGTTTCTGCTGCTGCTGCTGCAGCGTCTGTTGCTGCTGCAGCTTCTGCTGCTGCAGCTTCTTTATAAACTCTCTTCTGCTGCACTCGCAGCAGCAACTGCTGCTCCTCCTTCTGCAGCAGCAGCAGCAGGAGCAGCAGCAGCAGCAGGAGCAGCAGCAGGAGCAGCAGCAGGAGCAGCAGCGGGTATTGTTTACACTCTTCCTTTTTGTTGTTTTATTTTTTCTATTAACTTTTTCTGGATTGCTTGGTGCTTCTCGGTGGCCTCCTCATACTGACGGCGAGTGTCTACAGCTATGCGCTCACAACGCTGGCTGAAACAAACAAAATAAATAAAAAAATAAATAAATAAAATAAAATAAATAAAATAAAATAAACAAAATAAAATAAATAAAACAAATAAGTAAAATAAAATAAAAATAAATAAGGAAGATACAATAAATGAACAAAATAAATAACACAAATGAACAAAACAAACCCAAATAAAATAAAAGAACAAAAAATAAATTAAAACAAAAACAAAATATAAAACAAATAAATAAATAAACAGTTTTATTACATTTCTCCTTCGATGTATTTATATATAGAAAACTACAAAAAAATAAAATTAAATATAATAATAGATAAATACATAAAACAATGATAAACAAACAAACAAACAAATAAACAAATAAACAAAAAAACAAAATAAGTAAACAAAATACATAAAATAGCAAAAAAAATTTCTCGTTTTAAGCATCCATATAGAACAATTAATTAAATAAAGCAAACAAACAAACCAACAAACAAACAAAGAAACAAAATAACTAAACAAACAAACAAACTAAACAACCAAACAAAAAAACAAAAAAACAAAATAAAAAAATAAAAAAGTAATTACATTTCTCCTTTTAAGTACTGAAGTCTCCTGGTGACGGTTTGCATGGCTTCTTCTTTATTTTGGCGAATTAATAAAGGGCCCACCATCTTATATATCACCGCGTCTCCTGCTGCTGCTTCTAGTTCCTTTATACACATAAACAAAATAAATAAATAAATAAATAAATAAATAAATAAATAAATAAATATATATATATGTATGTGAATAAATAAATTAATGTATAAATAAATAATGATGTATGGTTCTTTGTTTTAGTCAATTAGAATCATCGCGTCTCCTGCTGCTGCTTCTAGTTCCTTTATACACATAATAAATAAATAAATAAATAAATAAATAAATAAATAAATAAATAAATAAATAAATAAATAAATAAATAGTTATTTATTATTATAAATTAGAATGAATGGTTATTTATTTTAATAAATTATAATAACACTGAAGCCAAAGCCAAAGACAACGTAAACAAGTCAGAGAGAAGAACAAAAGAAATAATTGCAGCAGCAGCAGCAGCAGCAGCAGCAGCAAGGGCACAAGCAGCAGCAGCAGCAACAGCAGGAGGGAGGCGACAGAAGAAGCAACAGCAGCAGGAGCAGCGGGAGCAGCAGCAGCAAGAGCACAAGCAACAGCTGCAATCACAGCGCCAGCAGCAGCAGCAACAACTGCAGCAGCAGGAACAGGACTACCAGAATCATCATCAGAAGCGAACACCAGCAGCAGCAGCAGCGAATACCAGCAGCAGCAGCAGCA